GCCAGGTGCCAATGATTTCCAGTACTAAATATGTAACTGAAAGGGAAAAAAATAGAAAGAAAAACAAGCACTGATAGCAGTAACCAAGACAGGCTTCAAATATTGTTAGGGAATTTCTGTCATTTCAAAATAAATCCAAGTCTACAATACCCACATAGCTTCACTGAAAAGCCCATGGTTAACAAGACTTCAAAAACTTTGTTTGATCAGTTTCTCATATTCCCTTACCATACATAATTACTAGGACATTTTGTTTTTGGCTGGTGGAACATATACTTTATTTTTCAATTGGTTTAAATTACTATAAACAGCTGAAAGATTTGAGTAATATGGGTCAGATTCCTTTTTATTCCAGTCTGGTAGCTACTATACAATTAGGACCTTTTTATTATTCCCTAACTGCTAGTTGCAGATGTAAAACAATAAGTATTTTATCTTGTTCAGTAACTGTACCTTGCATTCCATAGTAAATCCTTATAGTGATCTCAGGCTACTGACTTCAATAATATAACAGATTAAGGACTCTAGAACAAGACAGTGTCTTTTCAAAGTATGTATGGAATCCCCAGACACTCTAAATGCCATAGTTTTAAATGTGTCCAAGTAGTATCACTTTATAAACTTTTAAACACAAAAGAAGTTACAAAGAGCTGTGATGTACGCAGGGTAACTAAACCACAAGAGCTACTTTGTATAATTGTTAAAAAAATCTCTAGGGATGGCTCTTTGGTGGAGAAGTTAAGACACCACTTAGGAAGCCTGCATCCCATATTGGAATGCCCTGGTCCAAGTGCCAGGCTGTACTCCAGATTCATGCTTTCTGCTAACGTGCACCCCGGCAGGTAGCAGATGATGATGCAAACACCTGGGGCTCTACACCCAAATGGGAGACATGGAGGGAGTTCCTGGGTCCTGGCTTCATCTGCTCCAGTCTCAACTGTTATGGGCATTTGAGGAAGGAGCCAGCAAATGGGAAATCAGTCTCAATCAATCAATCAATCAATCACTCTCTCTTCCTCCTTACCTTTCTCTCTACATTTCAAATGAATAATGAGTAAAAAACTTTTAAAAATTCTTAAAGAAAAGGAATGTTTAAATCCTTTTTTACAAGGACTTATAATTTCATCACTCCCAGTGTAGTAAATGCATACATACTTGATGCTTACCAATATTGGTAACATGACATTAGGAAGATCTCTGGGAATTAAGCAAGAAAAAAGATGTCTCTGATGTTTAAAATGAATGTCAGAATCCCAAACAAAAACCCATACATGTGAGTCAGTTTCTGAGGCTCCTGCTTAGCTTTAATTGACCCCTTGATCACTCATAGTTCCGGTTATCAAGTTCTCCACTCATAGCACAAAAAAGCACCAAGTCAGAGAGGCAAGTGATATACCAAAGCAACATGCTGTCTTGTCCATGTACTATATAATTCTGGGTCCAAACATACTTGCCTATTTCAATATTGGAACTAGGCAAAAGATAACTAAGCTTCTTATTCAAGGAAATATATATTCTTGTAGAATGTATCTGTAAAGTAACTGAAAATCTTTCTTATTAGCATGAATAACTTGATCATCAAGGATAGCTTTAAATATCTCACATCACTGTGTTCAGCAATACAGAGCTCTTATGGCATAAACTGAACCCAATCCCAATCACTCCCTACCTTCAAGATCTTACCTTAAAATCACCCAATCGATACCCTATACTAAAAATATCACCTACCTTAATTTTGAAATACTACCAATACTGTCAAAGTGATGATATCCATTCTATAATAGGTTTAAAGATTAGGCTATAGATTACACCTTTGCTTGATCAATAGGTTTTTCTGGTGGCCTTCTGAAAGATTGACAGTCCAAATAGGCAAAGTGACAATAAGAAGAAGTAGAAGCCACTGTGACAGGAAACATATGAAACTCTGCAAGTCAAGCACAGAAACTTAAAAATGCATAGCAGTCCTGGTCTGTAGTATTTTCCTTTATTTCAGGAATCTCTCACAATGGTTTTTAAGTGGCCAAATTAGTAATGTATTGTTAAATCGTGTTCAATGTAATCTGTTTGAAGAAATATATAATATATTTTGCCAAGGATTCTATACATATTAAATATCCTATAATAATATTTGTAAAGTTTGGGGAAATATGAAAAGTTCTCTGGAAAACTTGAATGTCCAGAAAGATGTATTCTCAAGATCTCCAGATAAGATACTACCATGTTGTTTTCATTCAATTACCAGTTTTTCAGTTGCAAAGGAATGTTGTTCTTTGGTCCTAAATGGTCCACAATTCAAGGAATTCGTGTTTGACTAAAGGCAGGTAAATCTACAGGCTTGAATTTTGTAATCTGAGTTCTTTCTAGCTCTACAATATTCTAGGCATGTGACACAGCAAGTTATTTAACTGTTCTGACCCTCAGTTTTTTTTAATCTATTAAGAAACAAAAAATAATTATATCAACTTCACCAAACTAATGTAATAATTATAAGCACCTTGTTTGTTAGATGAATAAAGGAACTAATTAATGTATAGACTCAGGCACTTTTATAAGTATTTGACATGCATTAAGTCACTTAACATGGGGGCTGGTGTTGTAGGGCAGTGGGTAAAGCTGCCTGCAGTGCCAGCATCCCATATGGGCTCCCGTTCGAGTCCCGGCTGCTCCACTTCCAATCCAGCTCTCTGTTATGGCCTGGGAAAACAGTATAAGATGGCTCAAGCCCTTGGGCCCCTGCACCTGCATGGGAGACCCAGAAGAAGCTCCTGGCTCCTGGCTCTGTAATGGCACAGCTCCAGCCATTGAGGCCAATTGGGGAGTGAACCATCAGATGGAAGATCTCTCTCTCTCTCTCTTTCTCTCTCTCGTTCTCTCTCCCTCTGCCTCTCCTCTCTCTTTGTAACTCTGACTTTCAAATAAATAAATAAATCTAAAAAAAAAGTCACTTAACACATAAACTTGTGCTGAGGTAGGAGCTATTAATATCATTAGTCTACAGATTAGAAAACTGAGGCACAGAGTATTAAATAATTTCCTAAAGTGATAGAGCTAGAAAATAGAGAGCTGAACTCAAATCAAGTTAGCCGGATAGCTCTTCTCTTTCCCACTATGCTACTAGGACAGAAATGATTAAAAAAAAAAAAGCAATGCAAGGTTCAAGAGATTACTTTGCCTTTGAAAAACTACCAAAAATTATTTAATATTCAAGAGAATACGGGTTGATTCTTCTGTATAATGAAAAGTCCTGGAGATAGTTATGAATTTCTTTACAATTTTTTTGAATTTCAGGAAAAACTTAATCTTGTTCAATTATTTCTTATTCTGATGAAATTCCACTCATATGTTTCACAAACATGGAGAAATTGCTTCATAAAAGGTAAAAATGATGCACTGAAAGCTTAATTAGTGACTTTGTTTCCTGCAGCATCATGAAGAGACATTTTAAGATGTGATCCTCCAAGTTGGATCTAACCAAATTGCAATGTGGCTGAAGAGAAAATACTGTTAATATCCCACAGGTCATACCAAGGAAAATACATCTGTGGGGATACATGGTTGGAGACAGAATGAGATCTATAAAACTTGAAGATAAGATTACTTTTGAGAATAAAATTACATAAAAATAACCTAAAATAAATGAGATCAGCCTTTGATAAAATATTTTTAAATCCTTGCTAAATTGTAATCTTTGCCTGGGTAGCTGAAAATTTTTCATACTCATATTCTAAGCATGGTGAATAATATGTGGATATAAGTTAGTCATTCTTTACAACCAACAAGAATAAAGACTGCAACATTCTGCATTTTAAAAATGGGAGTCTGGGGCCGGGGCTATGGTGCAGCGGGTTAACACCCTGGCCTGAAGTGCTGGAATCCCATATGGGTGCTGGTTTGAGACCCGGCTGCTCCACTTCCAATCCAGCTCTCTGCTATGGCCTGGGAAAGCAGTAGAGGATGGCCCAAGACTTTGGGCCCCTGCATCCAACATGGGAGACCTGGAAGAAGCTCCTGGCTCCTGGCTTCGGATCAGCTCAGCTCCGGCTGTTGCAGCCGTCTGGGAAGTGAACCAGCAGATAGAAGACCTCTCTCTCTCTCTCTCTCTTTCTGCCTCTGCCTCTCTATAACACTGCCTTCCAAATAAATAAATAAATCTTTAAAAAAAGAGAAAGGTAAAGGTAAGTGATAGGTAGAAGCTTTAGGAATCAACTTCTCTTTCACTTCTATGATGGATGATAGTGCCAGATAAAGGCAGCTGTCAGCAAGTCCCAGAGTGAAAGCGATGGGTATAGACCCACAGATGCTTAAATGGACATGGGTAGAAACTAAATCTTTGTGGTTGTAAGCTACTGAAATGTTGAGGACACATGTTAGATCACTATAGCCTAAGCTATCCCGATTGATCAATAGAATTGAACTAAATGCTCCTTCTACATGAGCTCAAGTGCTCTGGTTTGTAATAGCTTTGAGACATCATTTTAATAAGTCATATGCATGCAATTTCACATTTTAAATGCCCATAGATACAAAAATCATAAGCTTAATATATATGTTGAAAATTAATTCACAGAAACATATCAAACAAAACAATCTTTACATTAGCCCTTTATTCACATGGTACTTAAAATCTGTATCATATGAAACACCTCAAATGATTGAATCTTGATAAAAACACACTGAATTGAAAAGTGAGTTAGGGCTACAGACATCATTTATGTACCCTCCTTAAAAAACACTAGCTAATTATTTTTCCTTTCTACTATCTTCCTAATATAATTTCCTCAGCTTTGAGCTGAGGAAGTCAGACTACTCTGAACAGTAGTAATTCAGAAAACTAATTAGTTGTGTAGTAGGTAGTTGTATTTTGGGAGGTTGTTATATGGAACTTTCTCAACGTAAAATTTAGAACAGTATTTTGATACCTAAAGATCAGTTTCCTAAAATTGAAAAAGAAATAAGAGGTTAGAACTGACTTTTTTTTCCCTTTTAAACCAGTCACTCAGGAAAAATACTAAAAAGAAAAAGAAGATGGGAGGAAGGCAAGGAGAAGAAAGGAGTGTTAATAAAGCATCACCGAGAACAAGGAGATTATGGTGGACAAATACGACTTTCCCAAACCTTTGCAATGAATGGCAAATCTCTGAAGTTGGTGCAACCGCTTTTCATTTTCCTTTTTTTTTTTTTTTTTTTTTTTTTTTTTTGACAGGCAGAGTGGACAGTGAGAGAGAGAGACAGAGAGAAAGGTCTTCCTTTGCCGTTGGTTCACCCTCCAATGGCTGCCGCGGCCAGCGCGCTGCGACCGGCGCACCGCGCTGATCCGATGGCAGGAGCCAGGAGCCAAGTGCTTTTCCTGGTCTCCCATGGGGTGCAGGGCCCAAGCACCTGGGCCATCCTCCACTGCACTCCCTGGCCACAGCAGAGGGCTGGCCTGGAAGAGGGGCAACCGGGACAGAATCCGGCGCCCCGACCGGGACTAGAACCCGGTGTGCCGGCGCCGCTAGGCGGAGGATTAGCCTAGTGAGCCGCGGCGCCGGCCTTCATTTTCCTTTAAAGTCTGCCAGTGAGGGTTAGAGGGGACACAATTTGCTTCATGGGAATGTGGCTGCTGTTGTTTTCCTGACTTGTCATCCTAAAATGCTGGGCAATGCCAAACATGTTGCAATGCCGTGAGCAGCATGCTGTAAAGCAATGCACTGTTTGTTCAGTGAGAGTCTACCCAGGCGAGTGTTGAAGGCTGAGGTTTTCTAACTGAGGTGTGAACAAGGACATGGCGTTATGATTCTTCTAACTTCGTCACTTTCCAGGAGAGGAAAGCATGGCAACTTTTTAATGGAAGGGAACCCATTTTCAAATGAAACACTGCAAATGGCTGAAAAAGCAAAAGCAGATCTTGACTGCTGCATTCAGCCCCATTTTGATTATCTGACCTCTATCCCTTTTTGAAGGAACCTAAAATGGTTTGCAACTCAAAATTAAAATTCTAGCCCCTGCCCTCCCTTGCCTAAATGCCTTCTGCTCTCACAATTAGGCAACCTTCCACCCTCTCTAGGAGACTGTTTCTTGTCACTTCAGAATGTTCATCAGGTCTTGATACCAACACACAAAGCTTTCATTGACTGAACATTCATTGAGTCATCCCATATCCATTCTGCAAGTATTTACTGAATTATTTGTTGCATGTTGGGCAATATGCTCAATTACGGATGGAATGGTCAGCAAGAAAGACCTTGTCTTTATCCTTATAGAGCTCGTAAACTAGGGATGAAGAAGACACGTAAATAATCATGTAAATGTAAAAATACTTCCTTAAGAGGAAAAGATAGAGCTCAGATCCAAAGGACAAGTTACCTAACTAACTTAGGAACTAACTTAGGTGATGAGGGAGGGACATTTCATCTACACAGAGATAGCATACGAAAAGTTCCTGTGGTTGGGGCTGGTGCTGTGGCACAGCAGGTAAAGCCACTGCCTGCAGAGCTGGCATTCCTTATGTGAGTTGGTTCAAGTCCCGGCTGTTCCACTTCCAATCCAGCTCTCTGCTATGACATGGGAAAGCAGTGAAAGATGGCTCAAGTCCTTGGGCCCCTGCACCCACGTGGAAGACCTGGAAGAAGCTCCTAGCGCCTGGCTTTGGATCAGTGGAGCTCCAGCTGATGTGGTCATCTGGAGAGTCAACCAGAAGATGGAAGAATGAACTGTCTCTCTCTGCCCCTCTGTAACTCTGCCTTTCAAATAATTAAATAAATTTTTAAAAAAGTTTCTGTGGCTTATTGGGGCAAAGTTACTGAGGTATGAAAAACTTAAAATATAACCAGGAAGAAGCTTATTTTGTATTCATTCTTTTTTTTTTTTTTTTTTTGACAGGCAGAGTGGACAGTGAGAGAGAGAGACAGAGAGAAAGGTCTTCCTTTGCCATTGGTTCACCCCACAATGGCCACTACGGCTGGTGCGCTGTGGCCGGCGCACCACACTGATCCGAAGCCAGGAGCCAGGTGCTTCTCCTGGTCTCCCATGCAGGTGCGGGGCCCAAGCACTTGGGCCATGCTCCACTGCCTTCCCGGGCCACAGCAGAGAGCTGGACTGGAAGAGGAGCAACCGGGACAGAATCCGGTGCCCCAACCGGGACTAGAACCTGGGGTTCCTGTGCCGCAGGTGGAGGATTAGCCTAGTGAGCCGCGGCGCCGGCCCTATTTTGTATTCATTCTTGCATTCATCTCCATATTTTGATTTTCTCATTCACTGTTTTTGGAGAATCTGTAATATGTTAGGCAGTTTAACTAAGTAACCGCAAGTTAAATTAACAGTATCTCAACAACAACAACAACAACAAAACAGCAAGATCAAAGTGAACGAACTGATTGTGCCCATGAAGTTCATGGAAACCATAGACTTCTGTGGCAGACAGACAAGTAAATAAATTGCCAGTGGAGCTCTAGAAGAAACAGCACTACACAGGAGTGAGGATCAAGAGTTTGTAGGCACACATGACCTTCTAAATTTTAGCTGAGGCAAAAATCCCCAGTCAGAGGAGACTGGTTCTAACAGAAGTGTTTCTGAAGCTGGTGGCCAAAGGCTCTTGAAGGGGTTGGGGGAACAGGAAGGGTAATATTGGCAGAGGGAACAGCACAGGCTAAGGCGGAAAAGCATGACCTTTCTTTACCTTCCAGGAAGGAAAAAAAAATGCACATGAAAGTGACAGCAGGTGACCTTATCCGAGGGCCAGAGACAGAGGTCCCCAGATTTCTGAGCTCATGGAACTCTTAGCCTTTCAGACATTTCTTTTAATGCTGCTTGTAGGCCCAAAGAAGAACCTAAGGATTTGTTTTCCTAAGTAGCTGTCTTTGTTCATCTTCTGTTACAGAAAAATTCTTGAGGCCAGGTAATTTATAAAGAATATAGGTTTATATGTAGTGTACAGTTCTGGAAGGTGGGAAGTCCAGGAACATAGAGCTGGTGTCTCCTAGGCATCTGGTGTGGCCTTCTTGCTGCATTGTTATCTGGGGGGGGGGGGGGGGGTGTTGCATGGTGAGACAGAGCAAGTGTGAGTCTCTTCTTCTTCCAAAGCCATCAGTGCCATCATAGGACATTATCTTTCTGTGCTCATCTAATCCCAGGTACCCACCAAAGGCCCCATCTCCAAACACAGGTACCATATGCCTCTTGGTATTGTTTTGAATAAATGAACTCATTCAAACTATGGTGGCAGTGGAGTCTAAACTGCTTAATATATTATTATTTATGTACTAATAACTCAGTAGCCATTTGAAAAAATAAGTTTTACATGCAAGTTGAAATGAAAAAACATTATTTCTATTTTTTTCAAATATAAAGAGAACAGAGTATCTCATGGGTAATCCTCTAAAAATATAACTGTACTTATTATTTCTGCTTCACTTTTACATATACATGATTATTTGCTCTATGCTGTTCTTGTAGGCACTGCATGACTCCTCAAACCTTGGAACTAGACAGAATTCAGCCCCATGTTTCCAGTTCCACCTGGATTGTCACTTGGTGTTAGCTTTTTTATCATAGCAACAGTGAAAAACTCAACTTGGAAGTAATATGGCAATACAGAAAGGAATGTTGTATGATCTAATTTTGAAACTGTGAACTACCTTGAAACAAAGAGTCTACAGTTTCCAACACATGCCAAAGACTTGTGCTTTTTACAAAATTCTGCAGTATCCTGACCCACCTCTGTGAGTTTTCTATGGATCCCTGGGTATCTCAGCATATAGTTTAGGAAGCACAGGTTAAGGAAATTGGGCTGTATCCTGAAAACAATAGGAATCTCCTAAATGTCTCCAACTGTAGGAAGGGGTATATGCTGTGGTCCTGTGTGTGTGTATGTATGTGTGTGTGTTGACCATTCTGGTAGAATTGTAAAAAATTAAAATTAAATTTAACAATATTTGAGACTTGAAGAAGACTATTTCAATACTTGAGCTGAGAAGTAGTAGGCGATTGTAGCTGGGCTGGGTGGAAAGGACAGGACAGCCAAGAGGACTCCCTTCTCCCCCCGCCCTCACAGAGGTGGCCTGACGACAACTCCCTTCCATGGTGACAGTCTGCTGAATCTCAACTGAGCACAGTCTCCGGCTGCTCAGTGGAGGTGAGCTACACAGAGCCAGCAAGAGGCAGCCTTCCATCAAGGAAGTGCAGGGTCGGTAGACAGATACCTCATTGTCCCTGCTTGTATGTGGGACAGTTCTGATGTGGGCCCCACAGGCCTTCTTATAGCTTCCCCAAGGTAAGACTGTGTCCCAGTTTCCATTACTAACAATCTGCTTATTAACGCTTCCTTCAGTAGTTTTCTTCCTTTCCTGTATCACTTTCTTACTCCCCCTAATGGTGCTCCGGGGGAAAATAAATCCCCCATAAATTCTTTGTACCCAAGTACTTGTTTCAGGCTGCTTTAGCTAGAAAACAAAGACAGAAGGATATGAGAGACACTAAGGGGAACAAATGGATTGCAAGAGATAACCAGATGGAAGGAGAAAGCAAGGCAGAGAAATCTAGTCTGGCTGCTGGATTGATGGCTGCGTGACAGGGTTTATGTGCGTGACATTCTCAAAGCATTGGCTACCTTAGTACAAGCAGGTTATGCTAGACACACTGAGATAGAAGGGATTGTGGGACATGCAATGAAGTGTTCCATCAGGCACCGGGACATTCAGTTATAGAGATTAACAGAGGAGTTAGGGACCAGTGTTTTGGTGCAGTTAAGCTGCTGCCTGAAATGCCAACCGCCCAGATCAGAGTACTGGTTCAAGTCTCCGTTGCCCTGTTTCCAATCCTGCTATTTGCCAATACACCAGAAAGGACAGCAGATGATGTCCCAAGTACTTGCCACCCACATGGCAGACTCAGCAGAGGTTTAGGCTCCTGGTTTTGGCTTGGGCAAACCTAGGCCATTGTGGCCATTTAGGGAGTGAACCGGCAGATAGAAGATTCATTCTCTCTCTCTCTCTCTCTCTCTCTCTGCCTTTCCAATAAATAAATAAATACTTTAAAAGAAAGAGAGGGGTTTTAGAGGTGGGTGAGAGAGATGGAAAAAGGTTAATTATTGGATACTAAGTTATAGCTCAATAGGAAACCCAAAGTTTTGGTGTTCTATTGCACAGTAAGGTGACTGGAGATAACTATAATGTATAGTATAATTAAAAAAAAAACAGGATGAAGGGACAATGAA